ATCCAATTATTAATTACATCTTCATAAAGCACAATCACAACAACACAGCAGATGAATTACTCATAATAAATAATAATAATAATAATAAAGACAGCATGTGAATAAAGATATCTGTATTCATTAGATCGCCTGTAAGTTATTTCATTAAAATCTTTCCACAGGAGTTTTATTTTCCGAGGCTGTTATTCAGCAGTGGCCAATTACGGCCCACTAGAGTCACAGGGGCATGGGGTGTATTTTTAGGAAGCTTGCTGGTGCTGAATATTATGTTTGACAAGCTCAACCATATGGTGCCTTTATCTCAAATCTACTGATATTGGAGCTGCTCACTAATTTTCACACACTCAGCCAATTATATCTCTGATCAAACACTTCTACATGAGCCAACTAATATGTGCACTCATTATTATAACTACTAGGTTTAGTTCTCAGTTTCAACAGGGGTGAGACTGTGCCATACGCATACATTATCTGTCATATTTAAAATACTTGAGGCAATGCTAAAAGTTGTTAGTGTGTGATTACTACAAAAACGGACACAAACATGTGATCTATGCTTAGACAGTCTTTTGGAACTGTCCCTGCCATTTATGACACTCATGAGGAATTAAGTCTTGATGATGGCTTTCCAAAAAGGCAAAACTAAAAAGATAAAGGATTGAAGAGAAGCAGTCGATTGAAGTGATCATAGCTTTCTGTCTCTTTGTTATATTTAAGAAATATAATGAATGTCAGCAGAGATGGTCATGCATTCTTAAAAGAACCGAAACCCACACAGCTTTAGTTTTCAGGTCACCGGTCAGGCATATTGGCAATTAGTCTTAGACGCTTCTGGGATGGTCCCAGAAGTATCGAGGTGATGACTTTGTGCTGGCACCTGCTCTTTGCAGACAAATGCTTCTTTTATATTAACTAGGCTTCTTTTGGGAAGTGACCAGATGGGATGGTGTGTCTCACTGCTGTCAGATTAACACTCCTGAAGTCCACTTTTAAAAACTAAATGGAAAACACTTATTACGAGATAGTTAATATTTTAATCATTAAAATGTTCTTTCTATTTCATCTTTTTCAAAGTCAGTCTTTAACAGACTCCAGTTCATCCTTGGTGTCTGAAGGACAACGTGACATTAAAAGCAAAAACTAAAAGGGAACCAGATAAGGCTTAGTAATGAATTTGCTATTAAAGGAGGTAATGCCATCTATTGACCTGATGAACAAACTGTAACAGACGGAGAAATCAAATTAACCTTCTCTAACGAATGTAAACACCATCAGCATCAAGAACCAGCGAGAGCAGAAATCCACAAATTCTGTGTTGTTATGGCAATTTCAACTTGTTAACTCACTGCTCACTGAGCACACCCTGTGATTCTGAATATGTGTCTCAGCTAAATATATAAATGTAAAACTGCGAGTCTCGTTTCAGATTCATGTGGGGTAATCACAATCAGTGATCACTGGGAATAAACTTCTCAACTCAGAGTGGTTGGAGGGCTTTAGACCCCTGTGACGCATCATATGTGATGTGTTTTTGAACAAGGCATGTTCACACCTATTGCCTCATTGGTCAACAGCAGAGATGTGGTGTTGTTTAGACGTTAGAATGTTGCTGTCATTAGGTTAGATTAGATATAACTTTATTGATCCTTTTGGGAAGACTCCCTCAGGGAAATTAGAATTCCAGCAGCATTACAGGAAATGAAAACAAATAATAAAAAGAAACTTATAGTAAAAAAGACAGTAGCAGCACACAGGTTGAAAAATGTCACTAAAGAGTTGTGTTGAGATTATTGCACAGTGTCCAGTGTTTAAAACCTATTGCACAGTATCCAGTGTGTTATGTGAAGTGGCTAGTGGCTACTACTTCTTCCCATCCTCTGTCCTCCTGTTACCCCTCCTCCCCCGAGTGAGGAGTTGTACAGTCTGATGGCAAGAGGGACAAAGGAGTTTTTCAGTCTGTCAGTTCTGTATTTGGGAAGAAGCAGTCTTTTGCTGAACAGGCTCCTCTGGCTGCTGATGACGGTGTGCAGAGGGTGACTGGCGTCATCCATGATGTCATGTTTGCTCCTGTCTCATGTGCATCTTGTAACTTTGCCCTTTTTGTAATCAATCCAGATTTTGAGCTACTGAGCATTAAGATTTAAACGTACCTGGCAGCCAAAACATGTGGCACTTATTTATCAGTTAGAATTAAGCATTCAATTTATTAAATAAATGATGTCGGTCATATGAATATCACCTAAATTCACACTGACCTCACTCGTGGTCACTAGAAATATGTTCAACAGTGAAGAAACAGTGGAAACACTGTGGAGCACAATGTTGCAGAAACATATAAAATGAGTCTGAATCACAAATGAATAATAAGAGAATTCACCTGCAGTCACTTGATCAGCCCTGAGCTTAACCATTTCTGATCCTCTCTCTGTTTCATCAGTTGTTTTACCTTAACTTCTCCATTCAGGTTTAACAAATCAATCCTCATAGTGCTGTCAATGAACTAAATAAGTGTTATTAGAATCCACAGGATAATTCAGCCTAAGGTAGGCTGAATTAGTTTAATCACATTTGAAGAAAAGGCCTGCAAGCATTCATTACTTAATTTAATTTATTAAAAACAGCAGCCGGCTGTAATGTTGTGTTATAGAATAAAAAGTCAAGAAACATTTGTTGACATGAAGGCTAAAGGATCTTTTATTGTTATGGCTGAGCAAATGTTATTTTTATTTCATTTATTTTGTAACTTTTTTTGTGTTTTTTTCAAATGACCATTTTCTTTCTTGTTCTGAAACATGTATTTAAGTGTGACCTCATCACAAAACCACCCCAAATAATAAATTACCTTATTAAGCTGTGATCAGTTATACTGTGGATTTAAACAGAAAGTTTCTTCAGACTTCTGAAGTTAAAAAATAATGAAAGTATATAAATGACACTTGTTAGAAAACAGCTGTGTTGTATAATACTGATATTGCCTGTCATTGGGAGGTGGTCATCTGCTTCAATCTTAACTTGATCAGCCACATACAAATCCTCTCTGGGTTTTTTCTAGATCATTTCTGTGGCGTTGTACCTCCGGAAAAAAACCTGTTCTTCTGCTCCTCGCTAACATTTTGTTGCCGTGATGGAATTACTTGTCTGTTCCACGGCTCCTGCCCTGTGCCTGATTATGTCTGTTTATTAAGGTCACATTTGCAAATCTCTAATTTGCTGCCAAAGAAAGGAAGATAAACAACGTTTATGGATTGTGAAGTAGGGACAGTCTCCACCTGTCTGCCTTCAGCTGTAATCTACGTCTAAAGAACAAACATTTGACTTCCAATGACTGAGTGATTACATTATGCCAGTCCATGTCAGAGGCACAGATGGGCTCCAAGCCGACATAGTCAGTGGCATCACCTGTCATGTCTAATGCAGCACGCCTGGATGAGACCTGAAGGACTGCGTTTGGCGGTGTGTTCTGACATTTACAAACATCAGGAAAAGATTGACGTGCTGGTGTAATTACAGGTCAAAATGTGAAGCTTGATGGCAGCACGCATCATTCCTGTGAAAGGACATGTTTACTCAATGTTTTGGTTTCATTAAGGTTCTTACTACCCAATTAGAGCCCCTGCGTTCGTGGGCACACATCACTCAGTCACATGGGGCTTGTTTATTGGACAGAGCCTCAGTAACATGACATCCAAACAGGCCGCAGAGGAGTTTGGCAGAGATGGGGGATCAAAACAAGCTTTACATTCTGAGGTCCTTTCTTGTTATCGATTTAAATTAACTTTCGCTTCTGATCTACACCACACCACAGGCTTTTTAAAGGAACACAGGGATCTGTATTTTCAGCTGCTTCAGGCCTGGTGTCATCCCAGATTGCCTGTCAACAAATTAACAAGTAATACCCCAGATATATAATGCAGATCTTTAGTGACAGACCTATCCATACTGAAGACCTGAATGGATGGGATATTGAATGAGCTTGTAAGGCAGGGGTCCAGGGGCCCTTACACATGTGTGTCCTGAGGGGCCATTGTCTCATGACTCGTCTGCACCTGATCACTTCCACAAAGATGAGACCACTCCATCAACTAAAATTTGCTGATCCAAAATTCTCTTGTCGTGCTCCTTCCTAAACATCTGTCACATGTTATTCATATCTGTTTAACCCCTCTCATTACCAGACCTACAGTGGGCTGAAAGGGGCACTGAAGAGCTGATAGGTTGCTTTGCATAAGCTCCCAGAGCGCCCCTCAGAGGTTTTCCACCCAGGAAACCTCACCCATCTCCACTGACATGCATCTGAAATATCCTTAGAATAAATTGACTAAATTTTCCCTGACAGCAGGAGGTCTACCAGAAACTGCCAGTGGTCACTGGCATTAATCTGATGCGACAATCATTACCGACCTGTCTGTCAGGCTGAATAGTAAATCTAGGTATATTGAATAAAACACCAAGGCTATAGTGGCTTGCTTCTGAGGAGGGAGGAGCAGCTATATGAAGGAGCAGGAGGAAATAGTGTGTGTGGGAAACAGCACTGGCCCCTTCAGAGCCTGAGGGGACAAACACACCACAGCTGTTGCTGCATGGACGATGATGCATGTAGCCAGAGTCCTGGGAAGCTTTCCCATATGTCCTCGCTGTCTCCCAGCATCATCAGAGCTGCTGGATGCACTGCTCTGATTTGTCTCCAGTGCTTAAATGTGAGGGGGCCAAGGGAACCAAGACAAACAACGTCACATTCCAGAAGTAAATAATACTGTCCACTACAGGAGAAAATGCAATGATGATGATGATGATGATCAGAGGATTTTTCTCTCTCTGAAATAAAAAAGTCTGAGCTGTCCTGTATGTGTCCAGCTGGCTGTGCGTGCGTCTTCACTGATGCGTCACATGGTAAGGTGCGGTTTGCGCAGCGCAGCTCACCAAACAGACCATTTTTCTCGGAGTAGTGTCGTGAGAAACAAGTACTTCTGGAGCAGCCACATTTAGATTCTGTTACTTTTTTTTCTTTGCATAGTTTTGGAGCAGAAGTTTATTTGTTTGCCCTCTAGGGATGGAGCACCCATCCACATAGCTCTTCCCCAGACGGATGATTCTTAAACAGAAACCAGTCAAGAACTCCTCTGAATTGTTGGCAGCTCTGATGAAGAGCAGCTGCAACAGCCTCATTCTGAAACCGCTGGACAGGAGCCGAGAGCAGGTTACACATATCCAAATATGCGCGTAATTGGAGCGCACTGGCGAGGCGTCCCTTGCATCCCCACCGGGATAACGCTGTCGTGATGTTCAATACTTCGGGAATTGAGTTCACTTTTCACAAGAAAGAGGATATTTCCGAAGTTATCAATGGCACCCTGGAGCTTTTCTACAACGTCCTCGTCACCATCGGTCCCACCACCATGTGGAACGAGTCGTGCGGGGAGCAGCTGCTGGACTTCGGGCGCCCCGAGAAGATCATCATCGGGGTGATGCTGGCGATCATCACGGCGGTCACCGTGATGGGGAACACGCTCGTAGTGATCGCGGTGTGTGTGGTGAAGAAGCTGAGGCAGCCGTCGAACTACCTACTGGTGTCCCTGGCAGTGGCGGACCTGTCCGTGGCCATAGTGGTGATGCCGTTCGTAATAGTGACGGACCTCACCGGGGGCAAGTGGCTTTTTGGGGAGGTGTTCTGCAACATCTTCATCGGCATGGATGTAATGTGCTGCACTGCCTCCATCATGACCCTGTGTGTGATCAGCGTGGACAGGTGAGTTTACAAAGTTGACAGCAACTGGACCGGAGCTGCTTAGGAGCGCATCAGTTTTGCATCGGTACCGAAATTACGCATGCGGTGCATCTTGCGTTTTAAACGACACGGAGACGACAGATATGTCTTTTTATAGGCTGCTCCAAACCACTTTAGTGCACTGAGGGTGGGAACAGTTCAAGTGTCAAATGAAGTAATGAATTGTAAACGAAACGCATGAAACAAATGGTCGTTTATACACCAGAGAATGGCTCTTAAATGCCTCATTCCACATCAACTGCTCCTCTGATTATCTGAGCGGTTAAAACCTCTGATCCAGAAAATGAATGTACGCAGACTGTGATTAATTTATAGCACGATTCATTTATCTGCTTGACCCTGAGCATACTGTTTTTTCCTATAGGCTTATTACGCATAGGATCGGCACTCATCGGCGAATATAGGCAAGACACTGATACATGATTGAAACGGTCCAGCATTTCTGTCTAGGGCGCACAGCACGACCCATGTTCTTTATATGCCACCATTAGAATAAAGGAAAAGCAATTGAATTCACTTTACATGTGGTTCAGCAGCAGCAGATGACTCAATTCCAAATACGATGTTTCTGACTCACTATACCTGCATAAATATGAGCATTATCTCCCATGGTGTTTGGCATCAACATGGTGCTCCAAAAAAATCTAGCAAAGTGATTTAAATACAGCCCACACAGATGCCTCAAATTCTACATTCTGCAAATCTACTCTGTACCCCCATCCCCACCAATCAGGGTCCCCACTCTGCATACAGCTCTGGGGAGTCTGTGCTCACAAAGCCAGAGTCCTGATAGCTTGAGACAAACGAGACATGTCCACTACTCCCACTACATCCCACAATGAAATAAAAGTCAAGTGCTCGATGTCACTGCTCTGTAACCTTAATGAAGACAAAGGCACATTGTGGTATCGATGATCTGATTATTTCCTCCTGCTTGCCAATCAGGCATTATTACCTCTATGCATTGCACCCAGAATTATGTGTTTAATGCTCGTTCATGCATTGGGATAATGAAATTATGGGAGGAAATTGATCATAGATATCATGCTGTGATACAGTGTGATGGCTCCAGTCAGCATGTGATGCCACTGACAGAGGTATGGCTGTGCTTAGGTGGGAGGTAACGAGATCAGTTGTTTAGAGGCAGACAGGCCCCTCAGAGGTTAGGTTAGAGGTCACTGTGATTACAGTGATAACTGAAGATGGATGGACAGGGACTGGGATTAGTGTCATCTGTGGCCTGTCATTCCTCAGTCAGGGCATTAGGTGGCCACCATGAAACCAGCCCATAGAATTCAATTTGTTCCCATCTTAACCTCAGCAAATATACAAAATCTGAGTGGAAATAAACAATGGCAGTGTTTGTAGAGCAGGACTCCCTTAGTTTTTTTGAGGAGGATGAATGGAAGTTCTGCAAACTGGCTCTGTCAGGTGCCATCGTCTATGATTAGAGATGAGAATTGTTCATAGTATACAATCAGAAAGAAGAAATGGACCCATCTGTGAGTGAGCATGCCTGAAACGATAGAGTGGATGATTGAACGTGTTACTGTGAGATCAAGGTGCACACACACACAAACACACACACATACACACACACACGCGCATACATGCGCATACACGCAAGCAAACACACATGGCACTTGAGCAGAGCATCTCCGAGTCCCTCTGCCTTTTTGCCAGACACAAGAATTTAAAATAATGTGATGTCAGTTTGGGATTATTTTTATCCCCACGCAAGCTGCACAGACAGTTCTGTGAACTGTTTTCAGTGATCGCCGTGAAATCAGATTTGTTTCAAATTCAACATTGCAGAGTGTCTTTGGCAGATAATTCACATTGGGAATCATAGATGTAATTCATCAAGATGGGAATTGCCAATTAGGCACACGATAAGCTTTGATTAAGGCTCTCTTGGTATCATCTCGTGTTCCCAAGGACATGCATTGCAAAGCGAAGCTGAAATGTGGGGAATGCTGCAAATGAGGCTCAGGATTGAGCAGGTGGGTTTTGTGGGGGTAAAGCAGTCCCTGGAGAGAAGGTGCGTTACTGCAGAGAGAGGCTGATTGTCTTGGGGAGCTCCTTTAGGGTTCCAGGGGAGGTGGTCTACTGTGCAGTTTATGCCAATATCGGCAATCTGATACCAGAGGAGTGGTCCCCAGTGTATGTGGGCAAAGAATTTATGACCCAGCGGGGACTTGAATGGCTTGACACAGATGCTCCTAGAGTGACTGCTGTAATCCTGCAGGAACAGAGTATCTCTGATATTCACCATCCATGCTGGCACAAGTTTAATCAACAACCACAGCTACTTTTTGAATGAATATACACACTGATGAGTAAACCTACACATCATGCTGTAAAAAGATGCATCATAGGTTAAGTGTGGTTGAGAGGTCCGGATCAGTTTTTAATCTTCTCACATTAACATATACAACCTTCTCCAACATTAGATGTTGGCAATATGAACATGATTCTCAATCACATTCTATGCAAGTTTACATCATTATCAAGATATTGCACAGTGGGGGTGGTTGAGGCTCAAGAGGTGGAGAGGGGTTCTCCACCACAGAGGGTCAGTGATTTGATCCGCATCTCCTCTAATCGGTCTTCTGAAGTGTCACTGGGCAAGATACAGAACCTCAAATTACCCCTGGTAGCTGAAGACAGTATATGAATGTTGTGTAATCGGAAAAGCGCCCGTATAGTATGTATGTATGTATGCGTGTGTGAATGTGACTGTAAAGTGGTAAATAAGACTGACAAGGCACTAAATAAATACAATCCAAAGTGCTGTATAAATATACTTTAAAGCACAATATAAATACAATCAATTATCTAGTAAATATGGATAATCAAAGTACTGTCACATTAATGTTTTCTAACCACTCCTATCTATTTGTGCATTATGTATACAATGGATGTAAAAAGTACCCTTCCACATTTAAAAAACATTTCACTTAAATGCTAAACACAATGATCCACCATTACTTTCAATGTGAAAGTCCAACCCTAGCCTCTCCCCCTTCAATATGCTTGAAAACTCTTCTTATAAAAGTTGGAAAAATATATTCTCAAAAAATAACAGCAAGCTATTGAGATCATGCCTAGGTCATGTAATAATAACTGCAGAGTGGTTGTGTTGCTATTGATTTTATACTGTATGTGGAAGTGCTGTGAAAGTCATTCTTACGCATGAGTACTCAGTCATCACCTCCCGCCTCTTGAAGTGGAGATTCAACACAGCAAATTGAAGCTAATACAGCTCAGCACTGAGCCAGTGCCATCATAAAAGTCCAGTCTGAGTGTTGTCAAGTGGATAAAAGAGAAGTTACATTCCCAAGGCCTCCAGTCTCAACTAATGTAGGTGGGACTGCTTTTTTTCATGAGTTATCCCAGCTTGCACTTTCAGTGTAATCGCTTTCATCAAAAAAAGTTAGTATCTCTTTTGGATGCAGTCGGGTCTTAGCTTCACTGAGAGTAATATGTTGTATGTTAAATTATTCAAAAGTCAAATATGAATGATTTATTCACGACAGTGGGAAGGAAGGGTAGTCCTTTTCTCCAGCTCCTCAGACCTCTAAGAAAAGTAGGAGGAGTGGAGGAGCCTGGTACAGCAACAGACTGACGCTAGTTATATTTGCGAACCAAATAGGAGCCGGTTTAACTGTATGTGAACTTGTGGAAGGTTGGTGGGATGTAGGTCAAGAAAAAAACATCACACAACTGCAGAAATCTAAACTTTTCCAGCAAGGTTCAGACGAAAGAAAACACGAGTGTAGGTGTGATCACAGCCGTCAGCTCCTGCAGGGGATTTAAGGGAGGAAATCACAGAGGCTATAGGGCCCATAGATGACAGCAGGATTAGCCACTGCCTTTGCATCCTTTCTGCCAAATGATGTATGATTGATTAGCCGAGTTCCCACACAGCTCCCGCATCGACCTGCCCTCTACATATGATCATAATTTTGTGAGGTCAGTGCGTAAAGTTCGTCCCAGGAGAGACAACATCCACCCGCAGCAGCAGACACAGATGACTTGACCTAGCTGACGCATCCTCAGGTAATTTGATGTGACGCCTGAGCTCCACTCTCACAGGCACTGTTCACTTCCCACTTGTCGGCCACCCTGCCGAAATGGGGAGAATTGGACGTATCCTGCCAGCCCAGTGCGATGAGATCAAAGCAGACAGTGCTTGTAAAGAAATGCAAGATCAGGATGGAAAGCGCTTAATGGGATGTTACACTGAGTTCTTAAATCCTGCGATCACAAACAGTTTACAGAGTGCTGCGTTTTAGATCTTTTAGAAACCACAAGGGACATGTTTAATGTTACAAACCACTGCAGCAAACCATTCTCATCTTCACAGAGGAAACATGCATTTAAATTTAAAACCCTATCACTGCCCATATCATGTGAACGAGCCCTTCTTCCAGAGCAAAACTGCTGTCAAAATATTTCAGAGCCCCATTAAATAAAAATGCTGTGAGAATGCATTTGGCAAGTTAATCATTGATACATGCTGCTTGTACTAACTGGAGTTCAGTTTCCTTCCTCTTTGACTTTTATGACAGAGGCACATGAAGAGAAAGCCAAATTGACCATTGATCATGTGATCGGATGGTGTGTGTGTGTGTGTGTGGGAATGGATCCAGGGACAGATTAGATGGTTGAGAACAGAAAGTTAAAAGGAGGAGAGCAAAATGATGGAAGCTCCTTGTTGTTGTCTGTTGACTCTGTGGTTTCCTGACTTTAATGGACCATTGTTACGGTGTAAGCAGCTTCTATGTGTTTCATTGGAAAAACACACATATTTAGCTCTGGCTTGTTACCAGATCTATGGCAGCTACAGCAGGTGCAGCTTGGCCCCATCATGCTGCATTCACAGCATGTGTATCCATATTTAGCAGATTCAGTGTGACTAACATCAGATATGCACAATATTTGTGCATCCAAATGTT